AAAAAAAAAAAAACACAATTCAGAATAAAAGAATGTTCAATCATTATAGATTAGGAATTATGTTCTTATAATTTTAGTATGTTTACCTTATCTTTTTTCTTGACACCATGTAGCTTACGACACCAATCACCAGCGCACATCAACATCTCGACAGTTATTGGTGCCAAGGAGGAACAATATGCATCAATCACTCTAGTTCTGGCACTGAATGTAGCTTCTGGAGCAACCGTGCTGATAGGGATGGCTAAAATATCAGCAGCCATCTTTGGCAATATCTTGTACTTTGATGTGTCCTTCCACCATTTGAGTGCATCTAGATTCACAATATCCACACCTGGGTTATCTTTGGCAGTAAGCAGGCCATCCTCAAAGTGCAAATCCAATTCATTCTTTTCTGGTCGAACACTTTCACTGTCTGAAACATAAGTGAAAAATTCACTCATGCCTGAATAAGATGCTACAGGTATTGATGGACTGGGGTTCGGGCTGGAACTGGAAGAATTTTGAGTAACGCTTTGGCCTCTTGAACCCGAACTATACATCTCGACATACTCATCATATATATCATATAATGTCTGTCGAACTTTATTTATGTTCAGTTCCACTTCGTAAGAAGCATACATAAGTGGAAAACAATAATTTATGACCTTCATTTTGCACCTCGGATCCATGATTGCTGCTATGGACATTAACAAATTGCAGTCGCCCCAATATTTATCAAACTTCAGTTTTATTTTTCGAACTATCGACTGAACAAAAGTATCTTCATCATCAGCTTTACTATCGAGTAGCCCTTTTATCCGACAAACTTCATTTAAATTAGATTAGCTGTAGAATAATCACTCCCGGATATCACATAAGTAGCTGTCCAAAAAACTTGCAAAATATTACAAACCTTCTCCACTTTATCCCAATCCTCGGCGGTCGGACATTGTCCGAAATGCGGCTCTCTATCTTGGAATCGAGAAAAAACTTCTCGATACTTGACTGCACAAGCCAACATCTCAAAGGTTGAATTCCATCTTGTCTTGCAATCATAGATTAGCACCTTTCCAGGTAAGTGCAGCTGCTGGACAATTTGAGCAAAGAGAAGACGTCGCCCGTCTGTTTTGTTTATGTAATCCATCGTACTTCTTATCACATCCACAATATCCTTGATTTCACCAATTCCGTCTTGGACCATTAAATTGATGATATGCGCACAGCATCGTACATGAAATAAATGCCCGTTTGCCAACAGAAACTTTTTTTTTTCGAAAAGATGTCCTTCAAGGCTCTCAATGTCGTGTCATTGTTTGAGGCATTATCCACCGACACCGTATAGATTTTACTCTCAATGCCCCACTCTTGCAAGCATTTGAATATAGCATCTGCAATTTGGACACCGCGCCGTGGAGGGGGAATATGCAAACAGTTGAGGACTCATTTTTGCAATCTCCATTGGCTATCGATCCAATGCCCAGTTATCACCATATATTCAATCTTATGATTTTTCGACTTCCAAAGATCTGTGGTCAAGCTGATTTTCTGGACTTTCTTGAACAAATTTTCCAGTTTGGACTTCTCTCTCTCGTATATTGCTTTGCAATCATTTTTGTTTGTAGTTCGGCTGATCTTTTGCCATTCGGGTATTCCTCTTTTAAACATTAGGTTGAATCCATCCTCCTGGACAATTGAAAAAGGATGCTCATGCATTAGTACCCATTCGGCAGCGGATTCTCTCATTGCGGCCATATCAAATTTACCAGTATGAAGATATGGATGAGGAATGCTTGAATCGGCTGTTGGAAAATTAATCTTTTGCTGTTGCGGTTGCCTCAGTTTTTTCAATCTCAAGGTGCATGACGACCTGTGCCTCAGCATACTAGTTGTTGTGCTCGTCTTGGTTTTCTTCAGTTTGATTTCGCAATGTTTGCACACACACTGTTTATTGTCACCAACGCCTACTTCCTTGAAATCTTTCCAAGCTTCTGATTTTTTCGCCCTTGACTTTTTTCTGAATGCATCTAGATTGTCAACGTGTTCATCCGTTTCATTGGGGTCTTCCTCGATCTCCTCGGCCTCGGCCTCGACATCGACCTCATCTGCACTGCCTAACTCTTCATCTCCAAGAGAAGGCATTTTTTCTGCCTCATTATCAACTTCAATTGCATTATCTATATCCATAGGGCTAGAAGTATCTCCAACTGATCGAATGCTTCGTGAAGATATTTCTTGAGGGGAGGGAGACGTCATCCTTTATGTAGTCTGTTATCTGTAACCACATAAAAAAATATAAATAAGCTTGATATGTTTATATTTTTTTTATCAATCAAAAGTAACAATAATATTAATCAAACCATGTTCATTAAATACTTGGTAAAACCTACCACATAACAAGAACTGGTTAATACTAAGCAGAGGCCAATGTTTGATCATAAAACTAACTGCAAATAATGCTAACCTATGCTAGAGCCTAGACCAGATAACAAAGAATGCTTAGTAGAATAGTGCTAACCTATGTTAGAGCAGATAACCAAGAATGCTCAACACTAACTGCAAAATAATGCCAATTGCTAAAGCATACAACAAATAACAATAGTATAATCACGTCTGGTCCGTTGTCCACAAACCACACTTTCAAAACCAATGCTCGAATACTTCCTATTACAGGCAAAAACTAAAATTTCATATCACAAATTGCTCATTTGAAGAGAAGGATCCGATTACCTCTTGAAATTACATATTCACCCAAAAAAAGTCTTGTTCCCTATTAAACCTAAATCACGAAATTTTAACAGGTAAGAGTGTAAGACGTGGAAACTTACATCCTCGGAGCTATGACCGTGACGTTCGTCTCGCACCGATGGGCGTTGGCGGCTGGAATGGCGACGGACAGATGGAGACGAGAGAGTGAAGAGTGGCGACGGGCCGATGACGACTGCAATAGGCAACGAACGAGGGAGTAGCGAAAGCGATGGGGCGAGGGCGATGGTGACGGTAATGGCGATGGTGATGATAATGGATGATGGTGATGGTAATGGCGATTGTGATGGGCGGACAAGGGTTTTTTTAGGGGTAGAGAACGAGAGAAGAAAGAAGAAGGAAATGGAATGTAAATTATTTAATAATTTTGAATGTATAAATATCATAAGTGGAATGAGATTAAAAAATGACCAAATGCAACCTAAAGTGTACACAATGTAATTGGACCTCTAAGGGCTATTATGTAAATTTACATATATAACGAGTTGCTCGTCGAGCAGCTCGCGACTATGAAACTGGGGCTCGAGTTCGGCTCGCGAATGGGCTTGAACTGCTCGAGCTCGACTCGAGCTCGAGTTTAACCGAGCTCGAGTCGAGTTTTGACTCGAGCTGCTCGCGAACTGCTCAAGTCGTTTGCAGCCCTAGGTCCACTATATATAGGAAATATCTTTTTTATCTTTATTTAGTGGTCAAATGTTTTAATTTGACCATATTAAATACAATTATTTATAATATTGTCATTAATATTTGACTTGTCAATATAAAATTAGACTTGATTATGTTCATTAATATATTAAGATTAATGGTATAAATTTATATTAGACTTGATTATGTTCATTAATATATTAGGATTAATGGTATAAATTTATTCTTATTTGTTTCACGAATTAATTTTCTCTTTGATCCCAATTATATATTATATTGTATATTACTTAAAAGTTAACCCTCACGAAACCCTATAAAAACACGCCCATACCCCTTTTTATCTTCTTCCCTTTAGTTTGAGCCGGAGCCACTTCCATAAGCACACAAACAGCCACCCACCGGGCATCGACTCAACCAAATTAAAAAATGAGTAGCCATTGGTACCACGTCACTCTCCTACTCTTCCTAATAATTTCCGTCGCCGGCAAATCATCCCCGGAACACCACGACCTCGTCGAGAAATCCTGCGTCCACGCCAGCTACCCCAACCTCTGCCTCCGCACCCTCTCCACCAACGGCGGCGCCTCCGCCACCACCCCCCGCGAGCTCGCGCAAGTCGCCGTCCGGGTCAGCCTCGCCCACGTCCGCCGGGCTTCCGATTTCCTCTCCGACCTGAAGGCCGGCGGCCGGCGGGAGCGGAGCGCTCTCACGGACTGCGTGGAACAGATGGCGGACTCAGTCGACGACCTGAGCCAGACGCTGGCGGCGTTGCGGCGCCTCCGCCGCGGAGCCGACTTCCATTGGCAGATGAGCAACGCGGAGACGTGGGTGAGCGCCGCACTCACGAACGAGGACACGTGTCTCGATGGTTTCCGGGAGATCGACGGGAAGGTCCGGTCGGACGTCCACCGGAAAATCAACAACGTCGCTAGGGTTACGAGCAATGCTCTCTACCTCATCAACCTACTTGACCAGTGAGATTATCAGATTTAAAACCCACTCCAGATCTGGGTCTCTCTCTATATACATAAACTATGCGCTCGTGTAATAATTATATATTAATTATTAGTAAGTATGAGTTAATTATCAAGTACTTAAGTTGTAATGATTTTTCCGCGTGCTTAATTTGGTTCGTAAACTACCTTCAGTATTTTTCTGCTCGAGTAGGTGCATTTGTTGCCGTTTTATTAGCAAATTGTTGAACGGTATTTATGTTCGTTTGATTGCGTATTATTTATTACTTAAAGGGTTAAACTTTAGGGGGACCAGTCGTTCGTTGAGCAAATTTATGTCACATGACTCGATTTTTGTCCGACCTCTTTAATATTGCCTACCAATTACTTGCCGGACGAATTTAATGCATTATTTTCACCCACGAATTAACTTTTTCAATTTAAAGAGACCGAAGGTTTTTTTTAAGGGTTATGTAAGTAGTGATAATGTTCTCCTACCCGCTGTGGGTATATGTTAATATATTTACCGCTTGTGTGACATGCACATATTGGTAATATTAATACGTTTAAAAAAATACATCACCAATGTGTGCATGCACATAAGCGGTGGGCATATTAACATGTGTCCACCGTCGATAGGGGAGCATTACTGATGTAAACAGACCGCATAACTAATTGATTTTTTACTTTCAAGAATTACAAAAGGTTATGTCAATGAACCACAAAACTACGCATGACCCACAAAACTACGCATATTCACGCATATCACATATTTAACGCATAATGATTCTTTTCGTGATAACTTAGTGATAACATCCCGACGAAATACATATACTTCGCAAACGAATAAAGACAAGCAGAAACAAAAAAGGTGTTTAATCTTGTTTACAATCAAGTCTCCCAAAACGAAGTCCAAACCCAACATAAAATGAATAAGAATCAGCTAAAATTCAAGAGAAACAAAATTTAAGGTCTGAAAGCTTGAAAAATTGGTTACAGAGCGAACCAAAGCAGGGTTTTGAAGGCAGTTTTACCCCAAAAATAGCGAGAAAAAGAAAAAACTAGGTTGAACATAAAACTTCGGTATCTATGACTCGCCGCATTTCTCAAGGCTATTGCATTCTCAAGAACTGCAACGTTACTCACTCTCTTGAAATTTTCGCATCGAATTAGAGGTATCACAAAACAAGATTCCCAAACTCACGAAAATAGATAAGGATCAACAAAAAATTAAGATGCTTAACTCCATCTGAAATCTCATTCTACGCCGGGAAAGAAAAGACAAACGAAAATTCCAAAGTACGGAAATTAAATAGCAAAAAGGAGTCTCAAACACAATTCAAAATTTCCTACCAAGCGAAAGGAAATAAACAAAAGTTTGCAAAATTTTACGAAAAATAAAACTTAAGAAAGAAAACCAGATCGCTTCGACTTTACGACTCCACGATTTCTACCGCCACCATCGGTTCAGTCGTCCTCGGCTAGTCCTGCTGCCGCTGATCCTGGTTCTGTCCCCTTGGTCCTGAGCACATTTGAGCATAGTGTCCCTGTTCTCGGCAGTTATAGCAAGTGCATTGGGTTTCCCGACACTCTCCTGTTGAATGGTATCCACCGCAGGCGCCACATCTCAGAGGTCGGTGTGGGAACGCTATACGTCTAACTCTCTTACGATCTCGCTTCACCTTCCTTCTTCCTGAACTTTCAGCTGGTTGGGTTGTTGACGAAGATGTTGGTCGTGCTGTTGGCGGTTGCCTTTGATTCTCCGCAACCTTCTTGACTCGATGGATAGTCTCAACGTATGCTATGGTGTCGTGAATTGCCTTCACGTGTCTGATCTCTTCCTGAACACAATCGCTCTCAAGCTTGTAGAATTATTCGTCCACAATCAAAGGTCCATCCTGATTCAGGTAGGCTGGCGGTTGTGTGCTCCGCGAAAGTGTCAGCGAATAAGTCTAATTCAGCCCCGACATCGGCTGACTATGGTTGCCTCCTTGCCAATTACTATAATCTGACATCACTGACATACGAAAACTCGAATTCGTAAAGCACAACTTGACTAGAGTCAAAGATTCATTACAACTAGAGTTTGAAACTCATCTAGAGTTCAAGAATGTTAAAAGTAAGATGATAAATTCCTAAGCCCCAAATAAACAGTTAAACAAGCACATAACAATTAACTCTAGGGCTGATATCGCTTTGGTTACCGAACCAGTAACCGAAAATAGATACCGATCCGAACATATTCGGTTTGACTAATATGCAAACCAAAACCGAACCGTTTTTTGGTAAGCGATCAGTTCGATTTCGGTTTATATCGACCAAATCGAAAAAAACCAAAAAAGAGCATGAAATGTTTGTTGGTGTTATATACTTAAGCTTTGCTTTAGTGGATATTACACTTGTTATT